TTAAATTATCATGAAATAACACAAACTATAGGATAAATTAAAAAACAAGGAAGTCCTCTGGAAAAACAGTTCAGTATCAGTGCGTTTCTCGTTCAAGTAAATTGAACGGCCGCAAGGTCCATGAAATGTTGGCAGTAATAGACCATAACGTGGCAATAATCCGCAAACCCTTTGGCATCTATGGGATAAATTCATTATGTTTCAATTGTTTACTTAGTAAATCACTTTTATATCGGCATAATTATTTGTCCACCGAGCCCACCAGAGAAAGTTATGAAAATTAAGATTTATTATTAATGATAAACTTTTTTTGCGTTTTTTTAAATTCTTTTCTCAACATTTCATTTAATCTCTCAACATTTTATTTAATAAGGTACATTTTTTAAAAATGTATATATATTTTTATTTGGTTGTGTAATCGCATTAATTTTTCTTTGTTAACGGTCGCTTTTTAGGTTATTACTGCATTACTGCTACGAATTTTTCAATGACCAATCTTACTATTTTAATTTATTGACTTCTAATACTGTAATAATTGGAAGAAAACTAGAATACCACTATGAAGTAATATTGTAGATTTCTAATTATTTTATAATAATGTATTTACTGTAACATTGAAAATGATCTGATCGGTCGAAACGTTTGTAATTATTTTTATCTTTAAGTTTTAAATTAAACGTTCTTTATTACATAACTGGCTCTTAGCCCTTCAATTGTTCTATTCTACTTTATCTAATTATTTGAAATCAGCAATCAATAATGAATCCCGATTTTCGTAACTTCTCTGTAGATCTGATAGACAAATAATAATAATTATTCTCTATTTCTATAAAATTCCACAAACAGTTTTCAGTGATTAATTCAAGTTTTATCAATATATCTTAAATATTGTATGTCTATTTCCACATTCTCCTATATTATTACATTTCTATTTAATTTTAAACTAGACCTTTACAAAACAGATATCTGTGACATTTTTTTAAAACTGAGATTTAAGAAAATTAATACTTTTTAGATATATTCATGTATCTTTAATTTCATAAAAATGGATCACTTTGTAATAGTTGTTACGGCATAAAAATGTATATAAATATAAAGAAACAAGATATAAGAAGATTTGTCAATAAAAGAACATCAAGTTCTTTAAGTTCAATCTTCTCTCTCTTTTTGAGAGCAAAATCAAATTTTTCAGTGTAATAATAAATGAACAATCTGTCAACAAATATATATATGAATAACACAAATCATTCAATCAAATAAGGCTTTCTTCATTTATTCGTCAAAAATTAGATTATATCCTTTCTTTTGCAAGCTCGGAGCTTTCGGTACACCCCGTACATATTCATACATCCGCGTCCGTACTCGTCGCTGTGAAGAATCCTCGAGGTCACGGTCACAAGGCGTCTCGCGAGAGGTAAAATGCTCGCCCGGTACCAAAAATTCATATCTGTCCCCACGATCTTCGATCGCATTACGATTCGATTACATTGCGGAATGTATTTTTAGCTGACAATGCAAGTTGGAAAGGTAAGCAAAATCGACAGATCAAGGAACAATCGTCTAATTTTACATGTCTGTATCGCGCTTTTAAAAATTAAGTGAACAGTATATGATTTGGTGTAATAATTGAACTCTAAAGAAACAATTATTGATACATAATATATGTAATACAAAAAGTGGAATTATAAAAATATAATAAATAATCAAAGAAGTAGCATTGCGATTAAGACTGCAAACATCAAATTGTCTACGAAGCACATTTATAGTGATTTTCTGTTTAATCGATTAAATAATATTAACGTTGGGAAATGTTGGTATGCGAAACGTAGCAATCGCTGAAACGGACGAGATCGTATTACGCGATGTCAAGTACACGTGTAACTTCCGTGTAAGCTTCTCGCGTTTCTGTATCAGCGATTAGAATTATACTGCTTACGTGATATTACCAACGGCATAACGGCTGAATTTACGGTAGAAACTTTCTTTAGGCAGGAATATCGCTTTGGAATTCTCGAGTAACTATTATTGTATGGCCTTAAACCTTTATAATTGGAGCAAGGACTAGAATTTTTCAGCGTGACTATCTAACGGTCTGAAATATATGCGTCTATATCTTGACGCAATAATGTGCGAAAGCCTTGCAAGTGAAACCGGACCGTTCACCACCGAGTCGACCCGCGAAAAAGTGCGTGCCACCGTGACGTAAGACGCGCGTTATTGTACCGATCGCTATTGCAGGATCGCTCGAGAAACATCGAGAAAGCGTATAACTGGGACCAAAGCAATGACAGCAATTATGCGCGCGACCTAGATTTAAAGACCATATTTCTTTTAAAATCTGATATACATGCTATAAATAAGATTATAATCTAAAAATGATTATATAGTCAAGTATAATATTGCTACAATCCAGTCCTAAAAGAATTAATTAATCGCGACTGCTACGCTGTCGATGCAATCGAACCGGTTGCATCAACATCAGTACTGCCCAGTTAGTATCGACCAGCTACGAAGTCGGTTATGTTCTTATACTTTCTTTCTCCTTTCCTATGTATTAGAATTGTACATGGAAAGAACGATATTGCTGAAAGATTTAAAATTTTGTTGAATACAGATTTGAAAATAATTTTATTAGAAACATAAACTGATTGTTAGAATATCAAAACTTTTTGAAGCATTATTCGTCATTTTTTAATTTCTATTATATCATAACCATTTTAATGGTTCAACAAAACTGTATTCTGTATTCAACAAAATATTTCTTTCCATGCACTTTTTTTCATTATGCAGTCGTGGATTAAACTGCGGTAAACACTTTTTTTAATAAATAAATTTTAGAATAAAACTTGCTCGCCGAGCAATTGGTTCTTGCTCATAGATCCAACCATTTACGTTCAATCTCTCCAAGAGCAAGGCTGAGCTCCGAAATCGATTAAAAAAAAATGTTGCAATCGTTCCATCCACGGCTGATCACAATTATAAGGTTACAAAAATTCATAGAGATCGGGAAACATCGTTTGTGATACTTTTTTGCGAAGTACTGCACTGTAAAAAGAGTATTTAGTATTTATAATTACAAATGCCGTAAAATAATTATAAAGTAATTACCTCTATAGTTACAAAAATATGATTTAGTGATATAAAAAACAGTATTTTCAACTATAATTGCAATAATTATAATTAAGAGCTCCATTATTTTTTCACAGTTATTATTGTTATAATATTATTAATGATAATTACTTTTATAGTTTTATATAGCGACGAGAAAAATACATATAGTTGCCCCCGCTCCACCAAAAACGACTACAAATTATAACCGCGCGTGCGGTGCTACTTATTATATATTTCTTTTTAATACATAAAACTATAAATATATTTTCTTATTATTATTAACATATTATAGCAGTATAATAAACTGGAGCACCTAACCATAATTGTTTTATCATGCAATTACAGTTACAAACACTTTTCTCTCGGTGTTTGAAAATCAAATTTTCTATTATCACGACAGTAGAAACGCATGAAGTCGTAGCTGCTGCGTAGAAAGACACGCCTGGCAAAGTAGACGACCGTACATACATCGAGCCTCGAGAAAGGGAAAATAAAAGAAAGGAGGATCTATGCACGAGGCGAAGAAGAACTCTCACCATATGTGCGGCGCGTCGCGATTTCCCGCTATCATGATCCTCAAAGACTATCCCGAGAGTGCATGGCATTTGCGAATCGCCATCGCGCGTCTTTCTCGCCGCCGGATTATGTTGATAGTATATCATTCGCCAACATTATCGCCGACCACGCGACAAAAAGTCGACGTCGACGAAGACGACGGGGAGGCATGGTGTAATTAGACAAGGTGTCGTATTCTCGAAGATGCACAGTAGTAAAATAATGGCATCCGCGCGTTTAAAGTGCTGACACGAATGTAACATTCACTGATTCGATTAGATTTTGTCGAATTTCTATTTTGATATTTTACATATCATAATGAACAACTTAAAAAAAAAAAAAAAGTATCGAGGGCTCTGATTAATATTTAAGACCACTTAACATTTAGGACTGATTAGCATTTAGAATCGATTTTTAAGTGGTTGTGCGGCTATATCATGCGCTATATAACACACCTCGTCTAATTCCACCATGCCGTCGAGGGGCGAGTGCGGAATCTGAAATCGAGAGGAAAAACAAGCGGCCCTCATATATATGTTATGCATCCAGACGCAACGAAAACAAAGCGAGAGAAGATCGCTGACGAATAGATATCGTGGACGAGACAACCCCGTAACCGCTAACATTGTGCTTGTATACCGCCGCGTGCGATCGATCATGCCAGTATCTCTCTCTCTCTCTCTTTGCACAACAGTATTTTCTTTAAACCGCATTTAAAATATGTGATGCAGTTTCCACATTGCGAGAAAAGCGCGAGAGGACGATCGGCCTGATGGTAGATTGCACGCGCGAATTGCCAACGCAGTTTACGCAGTCCGTATCAAAAAGTTAGAAGATGCCAAATTGAATCTTCAGGATTCTCATTCACAACCAGAAGCAAACTGAGACCGTGTTTCAATTAAGAACGTGCGATTTTTTTTACGATATCGCAAGCACTTAAAATATTGAGTTATGGAAGAGTTCTTTTCTTTATTATTAATTTTGAAGATTTATAGGGTCAATTTTTGATTGGTCACAAGAGTTTGAACGACTGCGCATCTAAAGGAATGTTACACCTGGTATTCTTACATCATAGTAAAATGTAAATTTCTTAAATCGATGAAAAATGTCCGACAAATTGAAAAATGATACGTTACCTAGCTACACTAAGCGACGTACGCCTTGAAGAGTGCTGGGATGGTCAATTCGATATCGATTAAACAATTTATAACTGACGGTAACCATGGCGCCGTGCTCTTGTTTTCAATGATCGGTTACGTCAGTTTTAGCTTGAATTCGCGATCAGTGTTTTCATAGGCTCTTAGAAAGATTTAATTACAAAACTGTCCTTAATCATGAGCGCAATCAAACTGGACGATAAAGCGTTGGACAACACACACGATCTCTCGTTCGATTTCCCAGCAGAGAATAGTCAAACTTCTGTATCGTACGTTACTCATACGAATGCATCATCTGTATCCGAACACAAGGTAAATTTTACTGCAAGATCTGTCTTTTTTGATGTATAATGTTTCAACATGACGCCTCACATTTTTTTCTCATGTTTTACCCAATACTTGTAACGCCGACTACGCTTTCATATAAATACGAATTTAAAGATTAAACCATTTCTATACTTTATTGTTGCTCACGTACTCTAAAAAATGTGGGTGGAGATTTAATCATATGCAATATTTATATAATTCTTACCGTGTTGGTATAAAATAGTAACATGGTGAATTTAACATGATTTAAAAAAAGGACATTCATCTAGAAGTATCAAAAAGATACCTATTTTTATGAATTTCTTTTGTGAGATCAATTAACTTTGTTGTGATCATTATTTTACACGTATAAAATTACATACAATTTTTAATTAAAAATATTAATAAATAGCATTAGAACAACTATTGGCACAGAGCTTATCTATAGTAATAACAATTTGCGATAATCAATAAAAGTTTCATACTGTTTACCTGAAACAAAAACTCTCTCTCTTTACAAATTCTTGGTGAAAACATTAATAAATCTAATCTTTGTTATATAGTTAATTTTAGACATCTTCAATTCCAAAACAAAATAATACTTTTAAAATTAAAAAATATAAAACTATTTAGTAATAAAAAATGATTTACTATTAAAAAAAGAATAAAAGAGTCCATTTGTTTGGCAAACAGATCGTCACGGATTGTGCAACAGAATGTGAAGTTTTAAACAACGCTGTGAAGGCCCAATCTGAAGCAGAAAAATGTGAAAATTTATGCGGAAGTGAGAAAACAGAAGTAACAACCAACTTCGATGAATACAATATTCCGACAGTTTCCTTGAATTACGATCAAATATTCAATTTAAATCACGAAAATCCGCCTTATTTTAATTCTAGTATAAATAATTGTGATGTATCGCTTTACGATTATTTTGATTGCAACGACACGACAATTCAAGAAGAAGATTTCGAAGATAGTGAGAAAACAATTCAAAACCAATTTTTAACGGATGATCAACATCCAAATTCTTTGAACAATTTAACAGAATTTCAAAACAGTCTCGACATTAATTCAATGTATGAAAAAATATGTCAAACAAGATGTGGGAAAGAAAACTTCGCCGATTCAGGAATCTCTAATAAACTAAACATAGAAGATGATAACAAGATTATCCTACAAGCTGTTGAGAATTGTATTAAATCGCAGAATATTCCTGAAAGAAACGATGTCACTTGTAACATTGTTGAAGAAGACACAAAAAGTAACGAGATAAAGCTTGCACAGAATGCTAAGTTTATAAATATTGAAGATTCTCTTCAAGAAGAATCAGATATAAAAGACTTATCAGTTTCAGCAATAGAATCTGATAATTGTTTTATAAGTAATAATGAGAATTACTTTAAAAATCACGTCGATCTCTCGAAACGTATAGAAGAGAACGCGAATCATATGTTAAGTATATGTACCGAAGAAGACAGCATCGAAGAACAGATCACAGAGATAAAGCAAATGGATACAATAATCAAGAATCTTTTGTATACTAGCGACGACGAGCATTACGATTCGGCGGAGGAACGAATGATAGAAAGCTTATCTGCAAAAATGGAAGACGATCACAATGATATAATAAATGAGATTATCGAAAGCTGCTGCAGTGCCACAGATTTCCAGCAACGTTCAACGATCAGCGAAATCTCGAGTGCAAGTCTCCCACAATCGAGTAGCGAATGTGTAATTAACAAATTTCGAGAAAACAAATTTTTCCCACGTCGTCGCGTCGTTTCCGAGACCGCCATAGCAAAAGAAGATATATTAAGAACTATCGAGGAAGCGGAGAAAATATTAACTGACAGTCCATCATGTTGGGAAACGTCAGAAGCAAGCTTTAATCAGACAACTGAAAATTACGACCAAAATAATTCGTGGGAAAAATCTACGGAGGAAGTACAAAATGATAAAAAGCATGAAAGAATAAATGAAACAATAAGTCAAAAAGAAATTGATTTTGTCGAGGCTAAAGATAACAAGATAAATTCAGCAAATACGATTGAAAAGATTGCAGTCTCGGAGTCTGAAAGTAATTTGCAAAAATTAGCTGAAGTTACATGTCCAGGTCGTCCTAGAACGCGTATCGAGATTCGGGAAACTTTGGAGAAGATAGAAGAAGAAAAGAGGAAAATAGAAAATCGAAAGAATGAATCGCTAGAGACACTATCGAAGAAATTTGAAGAAATCGACATACTTGTTGCTAGTCATAATTATACTTTTCCCAAATCTAATAATGATTCTTATGAATTAAAAACTCCAGAGAATGTCGCCATTGATTCTGATAGTCTCGACGAGCTTCAGATTCAGATTGATCCGAAAAGTTTCGAACTTCCTTTAACAAAGTCCGAAATAACTGAGAAATTAAAAATCGAGGAATTAGAAAAAGAGCTAGAGAATGAAATAAAAGAGCACAAGAAACTTATGGATGAATATCAAAAAATTATTGCTACGGATTTAGAGAAGATTCAATTGACTTTGGAGTCAGAATCAACGCAAGCTTCCGATGGCGTGGGTATCGATGAAGAAATAAAAAACGAATCCAAAGACGAAAAGATAAGTGAGGAATTTTCAAATGAAATAATAGAAATGTTAGATGATACAACGATATCTAAAATCGATTCGGAATCCGACGATTTTTTCATGGAAGAGTGGAAGGAACCAGAAAGGACGTACATTAAAGGAAAAGTCTACGACTTCGACGAAAAAAAGCATGGAGTTAGGTAAGCTCTCGAAATAATAATTTAACTTGATAATAATTATTAATAAAATATATATTAATACTTAATCATTGAACTTAACAATAATAATTAATTAATTAATAATTATTATTAGACATTAATGGTTAATAGTTTAACTTGATAATAATTAATCAGATATTAGTCACCATTTCTTTCGATAATTATCACAAATTTAATAATGGTTAACAATTTTAGGATGACAGAAGAACTCATCAGGAAGCACTGCAAGGAGTATAAGTTGTATCAAACCCCGTATTTAAACGACGTTCTGTATTTGCATTACAAAGGCATGCACGATACTCAATCGCGATCACATTGATCATATTAATATATTAACGAGGAATTTACGGTTTTTTTTTAGGATTTTCCTTCATTGAGAACCTCGAGAAATACACGGGTCTAAAGTGTTTGTGGCTAGAGAGCAATGGTATATGCGAGATTGCCAATTTAGAAAATCAGAGCGAACTTAGGAGCTTGTATCTGCACCACAACCTAATCAGCAAAATCGAGAATCTGGACTGCCTGGAGAAGCTCGACACCCTGAATCTCTCGCACAACACGATACGGAGGATCGAGAATCTCGGTGACTCGAGTCGTGAAGCGGGTATTATCTGAGATGACCTTGACCTTGACGTGCCTCTGCTTTTCAGACGGCCTCAAGTTCCTGAACAACCTGAACCTGTCGCACAACTATCTACGAGAAACCGCTGACATCGAGCATCTCCGTCTGCTGCACACGCTCTCGATCTTGGATATCTCTCACAACAGGATCGACACCTGCGACGTCGTTGACGTAAGTCGATAACTACGCACGGTGCATGCAATACGCACAACCGGAATATATTTCCGAAATGACAGGTGATGTTACGGCGAAAACGCGATTGGAATATATTTACGTATTAAATAATGTTTGATTGCAAGCTGATGTTATCTTAACCATTAAATTAAAAAATCCGACAGCTATAATCATTAACCCTAAATTACTCAAGTGGCTTTTTTTATAACGTAATTATAAAATTCGTGGGTGGGGTATATTTTTCTATATAAAACACTTCAACATTATACCTTTATTTCGATTTTCATCTCTTTGGCAATTTATTATACTTAAATAAAAGTTGATAACGTAATTCTAAGGATAAATAGAATTTTTCTAATATATATTGTGAAATAATTTGTGCACTAAATATAATAGCATTCAGACATTTAGCGAGTTTATAATAGCGGTTTTGAATATCCCACGCTAGTAATGAAGGGTTTATTGTTTATTGCGTTATGAATTAAAAGCATTAATGACTTTTACCTATTTTTTCAGAGCTAAATTAAAAATATGAATCTGTACATTAAAAAATCCTTTGCACATATTAATATAATACAAAACATCTCCAAGATACGTATAATCTCGTTGAGGTGCTCATTGCCGCAAGTGCGAGCAAAAGTTGAATTGTTTAGATTTTGGGAGATATGAAGTCGCTACGCGTCGTTACGTTGAGTGGTAACCCAGTACTCAAACAGATAAAGATGTATCGCAAAACGATGATCCTTAAATGCAAGAATCTTCAGTATCTAGACGATCGACCGGTGTTCCCACGCGATCGTGCCTGCGCCGAGGCCTGGTAAATTTATCAGCAAGAACACGACCTGTGAGAAAGTTAAATATCTCGTTAGTCTTAAAATATCTTTGAATCCACACACAGGATGCGTGGCGGTGTCGAGGAGGAGGTGGCCGAGAGGAATCGGTGGTTCCAAGCGGAGCAGAAGAAAATCAACGACAGTGTTATGGGTGAGTTAAAAGATTCGTTACTCGAAGCGGGTCTCGAAATGGCCACCCCTTTGATTCCTCTCACCTGTTCTGTTCCTCTCTGGTCTCGGTTTTTGTTTACCTGTCGAACGTTGCGTCCGCCCTCGAAAGCCCTGATAAACAAAAGGAAGCTGTGCAAACCGGTCGGAACGTCCGAAAAGGAGGCGACGGATAAGAAGAAGAAGGAGAAGAAGGAGGAGGAGGAGGAGGACGAAGAAGTCACGACGAAATCAAGCGCTCGCACCGCGACAAGGAGCAGCGGACTGGTAAGAACTAGTTTCGTCAAGGTCTGGTACAGAATTCGTGCTTTGAATAATATCACCACCATCGGTCCCGTCGGCTATTTGATCATTCACCACGTAAAACCCGTACACATCCCGATCTCCTGCCATCCATGATACCGGCCACGATGAACGCGCTAAAGCTCGACCTGGAGAGGAAGAAAAAATCTAAGGAGCGAGCCTTCCTCGGTTCCTATGACTCTCCATCGTCGTCGTCGTCGTCGTCGTCGTCGTCATCATCGTCGTCATCGTCGGAAGACGAACAGCTCGCAAGCGACGAAGAAAACGAGCGCTCACGGCAAAAAGGAGGCGAGGAAAGTGACGGAAGGAGGCCAATGGCGGAGCAAGAGAAAAAAGTTTCCGATGAAAACAACGAGGAGCTTCTGCTGCCCTGGAAAGCCAAGGTACGCAATCGTTATTTTCTTGTAATAAATGAGAATCTAAAAAAGAATATATCAGGAGTTGTTCATCTATTTCTCGTGGCTAGATTCGAGAAGAGATCCGACCGCAAACACTGATCGAAGAAATATCGGAGTCTAAACATGACATCGCTGATGATGCGGAAAGAAAATGGCACGAAGATCAAATTTTGAATAACTATGAAAGTATATACGATTCGCTCAGTGATGGTATCGTCAACAATGAGACTGCCTCTCCTAGTTTTCTAAAAGAAGAATTAGAACCACAATTAGAAAAAGAAAAAACAGCAGATCTACAAGAACCATTTAGTAACAATATTAAAGCTAATGGTGAGCCGATTACAGCGTTTTCTTACGACACAACTCAAAAAGATCATCAAATTTATATTTAATGAGCTAAAATAATTAAATTTAAAATAAAATATTTTCTTTAAACTTTTGATAAAAAAATTAGATAAACCAAAACTAGTTAAACTCGAAAAGTTGTCTGTAGAAGATTTCTTTTTATTATAAAAATAACACATACACCTTAAAGAATGTCTCATATAGAAGATAATAGCTAAAAAAAAAACATAATTTTCGAATTATTATAGTGAATAAATTAGATAAAGATTACTCTGGCCATTATCAAATCTGTCCGTCAGATAGTACTTACATCATTTTCAAAGGTTTCCAAAGAAATCACATAAAATCTTCTACAAGAGAGCGACATATATTACGTCGTCTTTGTATTGTAGACAGAAAGTAAGGTTTTTTTACAGATAATATTTAGAGTTAAGAGAATTTTGATTAATCACACCACTCTTTTCGAGTTGTGACGATTTTAATGTCGTACAAAGAGTTATAATAAAACCGGAATATAATTCATTAAATGAAATAACTCATTAAGTGAAATAACTCGAAACATCTCTTTCTCTCACACACACAACACAGATTATATTTACCTTAATCAAAGTTACTAAATTTAGCATAAAATAATAATGTTATAATATTTTTCGAATTATGTCACTTTTAATTATTCTGAATTTATTATAATTTTGTAGATTATTAAAATTATCAATTCAAAAAAGATGATTTTTTAAGGATTAATAAAAATAATAGAAATAACATTCGATCATGTTTTTAAGGATATATTCTTTTTTCCGATATTATTTGTTCAATCAATAATTTTTTGTTAAGTTAAAAAATTGTTTTTCCCTTTTCTCAAAAATTTAGTCTTAGAGTTGTGTCACTTTTGAATAAGAGAACGACATGTTAAAGGATTAATATTTATGACACGAGACACCTATAAATGTCTACATTATCTATAATTATTTTTATCTTGATTGTATTTATCTTGTTTATTATTATCTCGCATAAATTTCTGTCATATATATTTATTCTTATCCTAGCAATTAAAATTGTTTTTTACAGATCGTAAAAGCGAGAGAACATTTACCCGTTCAGTATCGTGTGACACATCGGATCTAAAACAGATGTTAGAAGAAGACCAGAAACTTGCTAATGCAGTCACCAACGCGAAATACGACATATCGAGCAAAAGTATCAAGAGCTACCAAAGAAAAAGCAGAGACTATCCGTTCGGTTCTAAACTTAGCAGCATCCGAGAAGAGATGAGAGAATTCTGCGACAGTATGGATAGGTTTGTTGACGAAAACAAGATAGTGTTCAAGAACGGCGAGGTGGAGGGATTTTGGGGCGAGAGAAAGATGGTGGACCAAAATTTACAAACCGATTTTGTTGATGATAACAAGATCCAAGAGACCAAGGTTTCCGCAGGCGAGGAAGGTAAACTACGATGGTGGAATACTAAGGAAAGAAAACTGAAGATCAAGGAGATCCTAAAGAAGCAAGAGGATGAAGCAAAGAAAAACAAAGTGGAAGCAGAAGATACCGAAAGAGATGAAAAATCCAATCGCTGCTCATCGGAAGATAAAAAGCAGCTGACCGATGGTGCGAGTAATTTTCAGGATGTCTATGACTTGATGACACTAAAGACTTGCCCAAATGTTCTTTCGGATTCAACGAAAACGTATTCCGCGAAAAACATGGAAAATTATGAAAGCGAACAATCTGTAAGCATACAGCGAGAAGAATCGCACGAAGTGTTTCACAATCTCTTTGCTGAATTGAGAAATCGGGACATTCGGGACTGCGTACACAAACCGAAAGTTTCTACTGAATTAATAGATCTAGAGGGAAAACTGGATTACGAAAAATTAGACATTGATACAGAGAAGAAAAATATTTGTACCCTCATCAATACGAAGCAGCCTGTTAATTCTAATGAACAGTATTCGGAATATGAAGATACTGCAAACAAGAATAATTCTGCAAAAATCGAAATTTCGGATGACAAAGTTATTAATCTTTCATTCGAATCTTCGGAAAGGAAGAAAAACATCGATGAATCCGACGATGACTCCTTTAAGACGGCAACATCCATTCTAGAAGACTCGCAAATTTTGGATGGCAGTTATGAATCACCAAAAACTTTAAAATTGACTAATAAGGAAAATAATTTTGACAAAATTATCGATTCAATTAAAAATGAAAATATCGTGCATTTAGTAAACAATAATTGGAAGGAAGTAGTTTCAAATAAAGATCATAACGACGCGGTTTACGAAAACGAGAAAATCAATGACGAGTTAGAAAAATCTTCTAGCAGAACGGAGATATCACCGAGCGAACAAGAATTTTCAACTAAAATAGAACAATCTAATCCTCAAATGGAATCGCTCGTTCGAAAGATAGATCGTTTATCCTTAGAAAGAGTGAATCATTCTTCAAAACTGACAGGTAAAAGAACTCGCGAAGCGGAGGATGTCGAGGTAAGCAACAAGAAATCTTTCCTGATCGAGGAAATGAATCCCGGAAGGAAACTAGAGGAACGCAAATTTCGTAGCCAAATCTCTGAAAGATGCAGACAGCATCTGATACAAGAAACAAAGAAATTCGCGAAGAAAGTGTCGCCGTTAATCGATAAATGTATAACGAATCTAATAAAAGATGCGGGAAATGCAGACGAGAAATCACAATGCTACAATTGGAGAAATCTCGAATACTTGCCATCCGGTTGCATTTCAAAAATGGATCTTGGTAAACCCGCGGGCGATTTTGAAAAACGAAATAATTGCCATGATAAGTACGACAATAAATTTAATAATGTGACAAATATGTACTCTGAAAAACAAGAATTAATGACGAAAGAAGCTGTCGACTCGCAATTCGCTGCGTCAGCTCATCATTCTGGTAAGATCGATATACTAATATATAACACGGAAAGAATAGTTTTGCTGAAATATTTAAAAATTTAGATAATTGTATCTATAAATCTAAAAATAATTTTATTGGACTATTATTGTAATTGTGTAACCCAAGCTGAGTGATAAGATATCAAAACTTGTTGCAAAATTACTCACCTCGTGTTTGAATTTCCTACATAACTATTTTTATGTTCAACAAAATTCAGACTGAACTTTTTAGGATCTGTGAAGCTGGCATATTCTTAATATCAAAAAAATAAAAACAGTTCCAGTAACAAAGTTAGCATGTCATATCTTTAAATTCGGTTTTTTTAATATAAAAAATCGGAACTTTTTTCATTTTGATATAAAATTGTAGAACTATGAAAAGTGTGCTGCTGTTCTTATTTTTTTTATATTAATAGAATGTCGTTCACAGATCCAACTTTTTAACAAAATCGTAATTTTTTATATAAAAAAAATAAATAATTAAAAATTATCTAGAACTACATTTATCTGTTTTAGATATTCAATCGCTTGCCAATCTTTTTCGACAATCCGAAAACTCTGAGTCACAGTCACCAGCAGTAAATGCCAATGTATCACTTTATAAAGAATTTTGCGATCATTTGCATAAATTAGAGAATAGCAAGAAATTGTTGATTAAGCCTGATTTCACAATGGACAATAAACAATCAAGAAAAGAAATATTACCTGATAATAAGTTACAAAAAACTGAATGTTCGATAAAGAAATCAGTCAAACCTCTAATCGAAGTAGTTTCTGAATATCCTATGACAACTAAAAATTCTGAACAAACATCATCAGAGCAAAAAGAAATTAAACAATTGCATAGTTCGCAAACTATTTCCTATTGCATACAAAAAGATGTTAGTATAATATATAATATTATAAATATACAGGATGTTCGACAGCAGGAAAGACAAAATTTAAGAAAGGGTTCTCTAGATGATAAGGAGTTCGCAGAATAATAAAATTATGAAATCGGTTTTGTGTTTTATGTGGTTATAAGTGTTCAAGTATTCATGTAAAAACTTAAAAAGTATCTAAAACACATGAATTTTAGACATAAATAATTAAAAAAACGAAACTTCTAGCGAAATTTTGTTATTGTTATTTTGGTAATTTTAAACATTTATAATTACAAAATGGAACCGAATTCACAATTTTGCGATTCCTTATCTTTGTCTTTTATCATTTAGAATCTTTAAATTTTAATCCATCTGTTGCTAAACGCCTTATACGTATAAGAAAATTAATGTGTTATGTAATACAAAATTACTATTATGTGTATAAGATTATTTATATCGTATATATTGTGCTTTTGCTTCACAAAATGTCTTGATTACAATTGATTGAAATATTATTAATTTATACATTACCTTCAGGATGCCATCAGAAAGTCCGAAGAGACGATTGACACTTCTGATGAATTTGAAAAGCTTATTAATTAAGAAAGCGCAGTTAATTTAAAAGAGGAAATAAAAGTCGAAATATTTACAACATCGTGCACAATAGACAATGCAGAATACAAGGAAGAGTATGTACAAACGAAGAATGCAAAACCATCGCGACAAATATGAAAGAGTATAGAAACACAAGTTGCACAGGAGAATTAAAATGAATCAATACTTTACTACGTTATTCTTAAATAAACAATCGCAGTTAATGTACATAACGCACATTAATCAAGGAAAAACTGTAAAACTATAGGAATGAAGAACTTCACTTTCGAGGGAGCAAGTTTTCACGCGATTGAAGACTTTGTTATAATTGATACAACGTTCGTTAGTTTAAGTTTCGAGAGAATGTTCACTATTGTACTTGCTCTTCTATTTGAAATAAATGTGTTACTTTCATAAGACTCATTTTAAATGCGGAAACTTGGAAACTTCGTCGAAAGAAACGACAGGTGGTGAAACAGGTCGACCTTCTACTACGTACACTTTATTTTTGTGTCCACACTCACATCAATTATATAATAATAATAATAATAATAATAATAATGACGATGGCGGTGATGTCGATGAACCGTAATTAATAATAGTAATAATAATTAATCCGTAATTATGTGCAATGATAACCGGTCGCACGCAAAAGAAATGGTAATCTCTGTCACGTTTAAATATATTATATCTTCACCTCTCTCTCCGTCAGCCTATGACTTCCAAACGGATCCTAGATGGATCACAGATCACTCATTCCCGCAGAAGCTATCACCTCGACACTCTCTTGGCAAGAAGCTCTTGATATCATAATATATTTATATAGAGTGATACTGCGTGTGTGACGAAACTGTCTCCCTTCATCATCCGAATTCTTTCATCTTTATCACTTCCCGTCTTCGCGCACTCCATTCCGTTTTACTTTTATGCAGAGGATCTATATCCCTTCCTCCCAAACAAACGTAATGATTACATACGCGCTAGGATCGTTTATAGGTTTATAAATATGCACATATATATCACCTCGCTCCTCCGCACAGGCACGCAAAAATCGAGTTTGGTATTTCGTTTCTGTTTTCCTTTCTCTTTTATCTGCATCTTTGTTCTCTTCTCCTCGCACTCACTCTTATGCAGTTACTTGTGTTAAACGTGCGCTTCTCTTCTTTCTCGCTCGCACCCTCTCGTTTGCTCCCTATAATTGTAAATTATTCTCCGGAACGTGTCAACTGTCGACCAAGAGCGGATCAACGTTCGAGAACGAGGTAATCCGGGAAAATATGACGACCCAGGATTAAATTTCTTTTGTGCGAATGTGCGATTCTTGTTGTCATCCATTGATCAGCGCTTCATCGACACCTGCACGTCTCTTTGGATTTATCTCCTCGTACTATATCGTAACGTTATCGTGATCATATTTATGCTTGTTAGCCATCGAGGTTAATGCATTATTTGATGCATTGCATTGCAATCCTTATACCTTACGACTTATGATTTACGTTACAGAGAGTATCTTACATGCTAATGTTTCTTTTTCCAAAAATTAGTAAGTCGCCGTCTTTTTTTGTTCTTTCTTTTGTTGTAGGTTCGTCAAATACGTTCAGTTTCATCGATACCTATCAAAATTGAACGGTGCCTTTGTGAGAGGAAAAGATGCTTCTTATTAACTCCACTTGATTTCTTAAGAGAGAATATAAAAGAAGCAATTGTCCTCGACACTGTAGCAGACTTAATGCCGGTTACCCTAATTTGCAATCACGAAGTAAAAGCAACGAAACTTTTGTCACATCTATCGCATTTCCACTCTTTTTTTTATTTTGCAATTTGGTTTTTATTATAAGAGATTATTTAATTACTTTGACACTGAAAAACCGCGTCAGTCTTTTTTTTACTCTGATACAATAAAAATAAATCCTCTCTCGCCGTTTCTTTCATCATATTCTTTTCATCTTACTTGTTCCCGGTTCGGACGAAGCTTCGTCGTAACTTAATTAAAAGCGATGGATTTTTATTTCGTAAAAGAGCGCGATATATAAGCGTTTTCGCGGATAAGTTCTGGCTTCTTTTTGTACTTTAATAATTATTTTATAAGTAAGATTGTGATTGTAATGTCGCGTCGCGAAAAACTGGGGATAGAAGGAATAGCAAGTAAAGAGTAATAGTAATTTTAGTTCGAAAGGTACGCGAACGAAATTTTTAGTCCAAAGATATGTCCGAATATCATTAACAAATGACATTATCTATCTATCTTGTCAAAATATATCTTTGTTTTATCTTAAATAGGATTATAGCGTTACGATATTTAGTTATGAATTAAGAAGCGTAAAAAAGTTAAAGCGCACAAAAATATACAGGTTCACCAATTCTGGCTTTTCTCCTTCATGATTGCAGATCGAATGCACCAGACTTTCATTACACTAGATTTACAATATTTTATTAAATCACGTAAAAATCGTTAGACGATTTAAGGCGTGTCTAAAGAAAACTTTACAAAATCATAACGTCTCATGTCCATTTCTACCTACGTCGATTAACATTAATCCCAGTCTTCGTCTTCTAATTCTAAGAATTAAAAAAAGATGAAGAATAAATTAAACTGAGATATTAATGTTAATCTACGCGTTGGTAGAAACGGGCTTCAATGATGAAGTTCATAAAAATGCCGTTTTCTCATTAGAATTTCGAATTATTGTAGAATCGCGCATATGTTCATGAGAAAATCTGTGAAGCAATCGAGTTCACACTACCGTATTAATACATGAAGTAACAAAAAGCTCGTGTCTCAAATTCGCAATTCACTTAGAAGGATTCGCACTTCCGTTTGCACACCTTCTTAGGTTTCTTCTTATTTACGTATGTATAACTGCATTTAAAAAAACTCGCCGATAACTATAACGACTTAGGATACGACATCGAAATTGAAGGTGGTATTATCGAACACTATGCAAACGTGACCCTCATGTGCTCCGTCGTCTTCTTGACACGGGCTTGCGATGATGTTTCTCTGGGCATATCAATCAAATGCAATAGCAGCTTCTGGCTTTTCAGAAAAGGCAGCTTTGTAACAGTTATAAAATTCTTTGATTGGTTCTTGATGGATTTAAATAAATCAATCATATAATCCAGACAGCACAGAATATGTATAAAATATTTAAAATGTTTACAAAATATTTAAAAATACTTTATAAATATTATGTGCCGCGTCTAGGATTTTACTGCTAAAGAATCTTACAACAAAACTGCTTTCTCTGCAAAACGCAATCATTGACAATCTTCGTAATCTTTATAACAAAACGCGAAAATAACAACTAACTCTTTAATCAATATTTATTTATTCGCGACGATTTCGCAGAACATTTTCTCGCGGGTTCCACTTGTTGTAGACGTGAAATATGGAATATTACGAAAACGCATTTATACCGTTGTACCCCTGATCTGAAATTGCACAGAGAAAAACGCGCAAGAGAGAGGACCGAGCGGTTCTCACGTAAATCATTCACGCACATGCAAATCACACAATTTTGCAAAATAAAATACATATTTAATCGAACACCCTGAATCCGTCGGGCGCGAGTTTTATTTCGCGTCATTTTAAAAGCCGCGACGGAAGAAACAGATACACTCACGCTCCGAGATTATTTCTAACGATTCCTAATTTTACACGCAAATCTGTATCCTTTTTATGTTTATCGAAATATGTTTATCGTGTTAGGTTCATCGAGTAGACGGACTATATCGCGGTTTTCTATTAGTGATTTATCTTGATAACGAATGAATGCGAATAGATGACTATATGCTCGAAAGAATCATATCTAGGCGGTTTTTCTCGCGTGAGCTTCATTATTGCGGAATGTTATCAACTCGTATTATACTGATAAATTTTCTGGTAATCTGGTGAAAGTTTAAGTAAATAGACGCGATATCGAAAGCCAACATATATTTTTACAGCATAAAACTGCAACTGTATGTGTGTCTGTAAAAAGATATACCTTTACTTTATTTTCTATCTGAACGATTTATTTAATGACCAATCAAGTGGACAGGTAATGCTTGTGTGCTCGAAAGAATTTTTTTATTTCTGCAGGACTATTTCTCGAATAGACTTCTTTACTGCAGAATATTATTGGACGTTATGATAAAAGTTCAAATAAAGATGTAATGTCGAAAAGTAACACAATTCATTACAACAGAAATAATGTAATCGAATGACTCTATATATAGAGTAAAGAGAAAATTTCGAAATTCATCCCCGATTCAAATATAACGATAATAACTCGACAAATTCATCTTTCCATATATTCTCAATCATTAACCGATCCCTTCCAAAACAATTCTTTTTATTATGTGAGTGATGATGAATTCTGCGACAGGGACATCCACGTACTATGCCCAGCATGCATTTCTTACAGAAATTTAATACTAGAATGTAGTGATTAATTACTAATTTTGAGTATTATATAAAGGCATTGTTGTTCAATGCTTTTAGTACTTAAAATAAGCAATTTTTAGTATTAAATTGGACTTCTGTAAGAAATATCCAAAATCAGAAATAAGACAAGTCTTAAGTTATGCCGATTTTAGACGCTGTCTGATAACCGTATTGCGATATACACTGCCAATACTAAAAATCTATAGTTCACGTTACATATACCAGATTTTCAATATTGGTAATGTCGAAACACGACGTATATCATAAGAAACAAGAACGACTTATTTATCAACGAAGGAAATCACATATTCATGTGCCTCGTGGAAATGTCCTCTGTGGCGAAGTGACTATAGGCGAATGACCTAGGCTAACCGTCAATAGTGATTAATTATATCAGTACTTATATATATTTATATATATATATATATACGTATATATATTTTTATATATAAAAAAGTGATGAAATCTTTTAACTATCTACCATTTAACGGTAAAGACGTGTCTTTCATTACAATTTTGAGTTGTTGAGTTACGTTTCCCTTCCGAATAATGTTCACTCGATCTTCATCGATGCACTTTTCACTCCACGTCTTATAGATGTTTTATACGGCCACGTCCTCTTGCATATTTTCTTTTTTAAACTTTAACAGTGGCTTTCGCGTCATTTAGCTCGTAGTGTATGTGTTTCATGTATAATACACGCATTATATATTGTAATTAAATCTTTTTTTTTTTTTTTGTGTAAACTTGAAAGAGGCAGTATTCCCGACGGCTTCTCGTCGTCCATCGTAAAACAAGTCACGAAAGTGTCGTCGGCACATTTTTCACGTTTCTTCCCTTTCTTTCCTCCTTTCCCCTCTTTTTTTTTTGACTATTGTATATGTATACGCGTATACACTAGTAACCATTATTCTAATAATTGAAATAGGACCCAACGCGCCATAATCTTGTAGACCTCACCCTTAGCAGGGCGCTTAACATTAACGAATACGTAATACGAAAGAAAATGAGATATATAAAGAAAATGTCGAGGTAATAAAACCATAAAAAAACACGCGAAAGTATTACTTACGGAGGGAGGAAACAGAAAGCGAAGAAGCGGTAAAAAAATAACGGAAACGCCACGTTTGATTCTTTTTCCAAATATTTTTATTCTCTTTATATCATTAAAAGCTCGAAAAAGAGAGAAAAATAAAAGACTGATTTTATCAGAGTTGTTTTTTATATGCCCTTCTTTTCCTCCGCTGCGTCGCAATTACTCTACCGTGTCACATTTTCAAAAAAGAAAAATAAAAGTTCCGCAATCGTATTCGTGCAAACAGCAAGATGTTAAAAAAAAAATTATTTTCGCTTACAGTTTTACCTACTGGTCTTTCATTTTTCACGCGCATGCCATTAATATGACTAGAGGCTTAATAACTTGTCAATTTTGCGTTACTCGCCGGTAAGATTTGTTTCATACTCTTGTACCAAAAAAAAAGAAACCATATCGTTCCAGGCTTCAAAGTACAAGAAGAAAATATCCTCTTGGGAAAGCCACGGAATCGCGAAATGCAAAAAGCACAGATCTGTTTCCATTAGTCTGTTCACTAAAGTTTCCTATTCCTTCGTAATTCTCTGCTCTAAGATTATTTCTTCTTTCATTTTGAAATTATGTTGGAAGTACCGAAAAGCGGACGCATTATTTACGTTTCTTGCATTTTTAACGTAACGCCCGACATTTTACATCGAACTTTGGAAGAATTCTTAATAATACAAAGAATCGAAGGAACAAGGATCTTCTCTTTCGAGACGGAGAAAGATCTTTTGCCCGTTTGATATCTAACAAGTATAAAGCATTAAGTAAGCAAGATTAGTTTACATATACGTGTAAAAAAAGAACCGATTTTGCGAAATTCGAATGTTCGAGGTTTGCAATATCACTCCAAAATCGTCGGAGACTGGTTGCTCTGCGGCCAGTCAAATTACATTTTTTTTTTGGTTGCACTAGGAAAAAATATTTCGATAGTCGCTTTCCGGAATCCACGCATTTTTCTCTCATTTCTCTCGATTTTGACAACCGACGCATCCCATCGTAATTTTTATCGTGATACACAACAACTTTTCGTATATATACAAATTATATATTTTATTCGTAATTAAAACAAGGATTCATGAAACTCTTATCGAATTAAAATATTCATTTATATACCATAAATGAAAAGCAAAGCGCATCACGCAATTAACTACATATATATGTGTAGGGTGAATGTACAAAATTCTTAAAAAAGAAAATAAAAAAGACGCTGCCGGAACGTGGTTACCGGAAGGCGATTGGACCATGTAATCCTGCAATATTAAGAAAAACCATCGATCTTATGTACTTATATATTAAATATTAATAATTATAAATTACGATCACCGTTAATATTAATAGTATAATCATTATCATTAATATTATTATTTTAATTTTAAATGCATACACAGTTTCAACATTTATCTTTGACAAAAAAGGATAGAATAGGCAGGAGTGAAAAAAAGGAACGAAAAGAGGTAACAGCGCAGAAAAAAGGGATATAGATAGGAAAGATGAAAGTTATAAAAAAAAAAGCTATCGGAAAAATACAATTACGTACTTATATGTTTACAAAAAAGGCCGTGATAAACAAAATGTGAATAAGAAAAAAGTATTAAAAAGGTAATAATGATAAGGAGAAGAAAGAAAATTTCGCGGCCTTTTCTATTAACCTGGGATTCTTTGGGTCCTATTTCAAAGGTACTTTTAGCACGACTCTTTCGATCGAGAGCACGTGCCTGCCTCTTGCACGAGGATTGATTGGCGTTTAATCAACAGTGGGGAAGAGATACCACCGAGACGACAGTCAGGGATTAATTCTTCTCCTTCTCGCCGTTGCCGTAATTAGAGATAATTGGACAGAGGGCGGGGAGAGAAGATTAAGGTATGGATACTATGAACTAAACGATTACACATTACATTAAACGTACTCGACACTTCAATACGCTGGCCCGTATTTTCGTGCAATCGTAACGCGGTCGCGATACAAAAGCAGATAAAACTATCTGCGCTCTCTCTCTCTCTCTCTCTCGAACTTTAGTACATCGCTCCTCTCATATTCTTTCGTAAACGTCAACGTCCCGATGAATCACATATTTATCAAAAGAGCAACAATGTTCTAGTTCTATGTTCAGCACTCATCTCATTTATCCGCGCGTTTCGTTTTCTTTTCTTTTTTTTTTGATTGACAATTGGCCGCCTTTCATTCTCATTTTCACGCTCTCACAGCTCTCTCCCTCTCTCTCGATATCTTTTACAAAGTGTTCAATCGCTCTCGTACTCACAAAAAACGTAGATGCAGAACGGCCTATGGCAGAAATCTATACAAAATAAATAATGATACACTTAATCAATCGAGAGGGTCGTGGTGCTGATAATAGTAATAATAGTAATAGCTTTAGTGGTGCAAAGTCGGCGTATTTTATCATGATAAGAAAAATGATCATCTCATTTCATGTCTCTCTCCCTTTCGCTCTCTCCCCCCCCCCCCCCCCCCTCTCTCTCTCTCTCTCTCTCTCATTCGACAGTGCTTATAACGAGGGCAAAGCTCGCGTGACGAGTTATGTGCGATTTGGATATCTCGAAGCTGCTGGACGATTCGCACCGTTCTTCCGTTTCCTCGGCATGCAAGTGTACGCAATTCGCGTCGTAAATCTCCATCGATATACATGTGCGTTCAATGTGCGTCGTATAAACTCGAACGCATCATTACTGAGATTACGAGCTTGGCTGAGTTTGTTTCTCTTATCTGTGAGCCGCGACGCAATATTACGATTACATATCATATCATGCTTGATAAAATCTCATTTTGCACATGGGAAAAGTAATTCGTAGCTAATCGCCGAAGCAAACATTAACAGCGTTTCCTCGGCAGTGAACGCTTGAACCTTGATTCGAGATGGAAATCTCTCGACGATCGTCGGCACGAGATTGTCGTCCGTCCTTCAAACTTCGGAATCCTCGATTGAGAGTGCCCCCGTGGGAAAAGAACTATCAAGTTGTGAACTAGCACGTGCATCTCGAAGGTTCGCGAAGAAAGTCCTTGAAAAAGGGAAGGATAAAAAGAAAGTCTGCGCCCAATGCCGCAGAGTTCTGAACTGTCGACCTTGTTGTTGGCGCTTGTTTTCCATTCTTACGCCTCATCCTTTACCGCGCGCTCTTTTTCTGCAATCTTCGTATTTGATCTAACTCGAGAATTCTTAGAAGCGTTGATATTCGTGGTCCTTGTCGTCGACTTTACCGCGTCGCCAGGTCAAGTCAACTACGATGCGCTTGCCGTGGGAATCTTTTTTACCACCATAACCCAAAACGTTCTTGAAATCACCGCCATTGCTATTGCCGCTGTTATAATGGGTCTTCATACGCTCGTAATTGTTATTGTTGCTGGTACTACTACTATTAATCCGGTATCCAAAGTTTCTGATCAGCGTCAACTCCGGTGAACCTGGCGATTTGTTTGCCAGTGTCGTGGCTGCTGGCACGCCGACTTGTTCGGTGATCAGATGGTGGTACTTGATTCTTATGCTGTAAATTGGTTGACTGTTGGTTCTTTGAAGAAACGTCCTTGGGAGAGCCCCAAGTTAGTTCCAAATGCGTAGGAACGAATCCCAGGAGCCTGTCGCCACCGCCATGCCGTCTTCCGTCACGCCGAGACAAGACACGCGATTGTCATGCCCAGCGAGAATTCCTAGAAAACACAATTATAGGAAATATTCTTTAATAGAATATATATAGCAAGAATAATTTTATCTTTTACTTTAATAATTAAAATCATTGATAATAACAAACTCGAAAAAAAAATAATCGAGAGAAGAGTCTCAAATAAAATCTCTCTTCTCTCTTATGATATTAGCGCCCATAAGATATCGTCAACCTACCAGCTCGCTCGGTTTTCATAGAATCCCAAACATTGCAGTTGAAATCGTCGTAGCCCGCCAGCAATAATCTCCCGCTCCCGCTGAAAGCTACGCTGGTGATACCACAAATGATATTGTCGTGACTGTACATCGCGAGTTCCTGATCCGCCCTAATGTCAAATAGTCTGCACGTCGCGTCGTCTGAGCCCGTCGCGAAAGCATATCCATTCGGGAAGAACTGTGAATATATCCAAACGGTTAAGTTAATCTTTAACGAAACCTTTGTCGAAAATGCATTAGTATTTACTTTTACCGTTATAAAAACGTAATTTTTAAATTTCTTTTTCTTAATATATCTCACCGTGACGGCATTTATGTCACTCTCATGACCCGGGAAAGTCTGCTTACAGGAACCTTCACGAATGTCCCATAATTTCGCACTGGCATCGCACGCCCCGGACACGAAGGTGCGCGTGTCCGGCGCCAGCGACAGAGACATTACGTCGCCAGTGTGTCCGATGAACGAAGTACACTGCTGGCCAGTTTCGATGTCCCATAAAGCACTGAATCAAAACAATTCAGCATTTTAGTTCACTTTACAATCTTCAAATGCCTTCATCGGAATCAACGGAAAAGATTTAAGAGTAGATAGAGAGAAAAAAAATTAAAAAATTTTATCTCTTTCTATTATAATTGTATATTATTACGTTTTCGATTTGCTAAATGTAATAATTTGTATACCATAGAACATATAAAAAATGCGATTGTATTTATATTTATATTTTTTATTTTTTTAATATAAACTCATATTAAATTATGCTGAAGAAGGACCTGTGGTCACGAAATGTACTGATATGTAGTCGATGTCTTAATTAAAGTTTTACATCCTTTATTTAACTCGATTATTAACCAGATTTTCTTATATATTGCTATATAATTTTATCTTTATTTTGTGCATTAAATTTTTCTCGTATTTTATATAGTTGTATACTTTTTATTTTATTTTGCAAAACTTTAGAAAATATAAAGTTTTAAAATATAAAGGATATATATAGAGAGAGGATTTTTCTGTCATAGTAGTGTTTGATCATTTATCATAAATCTCTAAGTATGTAATACTTACCAAGACATATCGCCGGAACTAGTGACGATTTGGTTGTCGTCGTAAAATCGACAGCAGGACAAGTATCCAGTATGACCCGGAAGTTCTCTGCTCACCCGAACATTCCCTTCCCTAGTTTTAAGACTATAGATGGAACAGATATTGTCCAGTCCGCCGCATGCTACGTAACTACCCGAGGGCGCGTACGCACAAGTCATTACCCATGATGACCGTAATGGAATCGCGTGAACCTTATTGGTAGTGTAACTATCCCAAACGATCAGTTTGCCATCTTGCGATGCAGAGACTAGATTCCTATGCATGAGAAACAAAATATATGTTGATGAAATGAAAAGTTAATAAAAGAATTTTGAAATATCGTAAAATATGAAGTAAAGATTTATTTGTATCTCTAACGTTACAAATCCAAGTGTGTAAAAAGTGATTGTAATATATGTATGTGTGATTAGTTTTCCACGTAAAATACTATACTATATATGTTTAAAAGTAAAAATTCATTTTTATACAATATAGTGTTATTTTTACACAAAAAGAACTGATCACACACGTACGTATTATATATTCTAATCACTTTTTACATAGTTGGATTTGCAGAAAAATGTGTATACATTTCTACTTTTTTAAATCCTTCTTTCCAGTTTAAAAAATCATTACTACTATTACTACTAAAATTTTATTCACAAGATTCTAGAGAAATCAAAATAACACAGTTACTGACGTTGAATCTATGAGATTCGATGTAATTTATTGGCTAAGGCTAGGTTATTCCACCTTTTGATAAATTTCAGCTCACTATCTTACTCTTTTACTCTTTTGTTTATCCAATAAGTAAATTACCATATACTTTATTTGAAGATAAAACAACAGGTTGTAAAAGGTACTAATTAACACTTCAATAATTCAAATGTGCAGATGTAACATAAATAATATCTATTAAATGAGTTCAATAGAACCACCATCAGCTCCAGATGGTTAAAGTGATCAACAATTTCACATACTAATTGTCATCGAATTATCGTGTTCACATCTAACATCATACCTCGAGTCACTTCCCCAGTGCATCGCATAAATTTTAGCTAAGTGACCGCGTAGTGTACGTCTCGTTCGCATTTGTATGCGACCGATAGGTTCCATGCCTGATGTGGCCTGAGCCAAGGTCGTGTCGCATGCTGCTTTCCTGGCATCCTGCAACATGAAATTACAGGCAAATTTGTGAATGGAAGATGCGGAATTCAGTCTTGGCTAAAGTAACTTTTTGCAATAAATTATTTAGTTTTTAAAATGCCTATATTAGCATTAAATTATTAATAACTTCATAAGATGCTTATTATCATCAACATTATTAAATTATTTGTCAATTTAATATGTGATACTACTACTTTATTTCTGCTCTTCATGATTGTGTTTCAAGACTGAAAAAGATTTCGGCGCGCGGTTTTCAAAATTGGATACATACATAAATTTACACTGAAACATTAAAGCACTGAATCCGCTTTGATCGGATAAGATTATTTTTCTTAAATGATTTATTCTCGTCGGTCCAATTTGACTTATATTTGTGTGTATTTGCATCGGGATCCGTTCACCGTGTTTGATCTCTAATACATGCGATAAGATTCACGATAACATGATAAGAAATCTCGTTATATCGTATGCAATTATTCGTTACTATTGTATCAGCAACGTAATAAAGAATGATGAAGAAATTTTATCTGCACTGCACAATTCAATGCTTCTAAATTTCATATTAAAGCAGTATCTTAATTGAAACGCGCCGATAGTGAATATACCTCGGACGAAAATTTAATAAATTCCATGTGAGAACTTCGTTTAGTGTCATACCTGCGTATACGCGAGTTAAGCATAAAAGGTTAAACGACGATCACGACCAAACATGTCACTAAATTAAATAGAATACTCAAAATTTCCACGAATTTTAAGGAATTAGAAAAAGAAAGTTACGGGACAGTAGAAAAATCCGGTAAATTGTCCAACTCGGTAAATAGTGCTCGCTGCTCGCGTGTCTTTAATCCGATATTATGTCGCAATACTATCTTTCAAATGACCTTTAAAATCGGATTATAATACAGTAGACAGTAGTACTTAAAGCGACTTAATACTGAAGTATATTGGATATAACTCTTTGCCTTTAGTAGACTAAAGATATACTAAAGATGTATATACAGGACCATTAAATGATTTCTAAAATAAGACCGCACTATATTTCGCACTCGTTTCATAATTCGTTTTATGATCAATTTTTACCGTAACTTACCGTATATTTAATCAAGGATGATATCTTTTTGATAAAATAATTTCAAGTAATTTAATTGTGTATCATTAATAAAAAAAAAATTAAACAAGATCAATCTTGAAATTATAATAATTAATTGAAAAATTAATTAAAATAAAAAAATCATTATACATAAGAAAATACAATATTTCATGGTACATCCATTACGCACATTAAGGATTTTGCCGAATAAACTGTGATCGGAAAAAAATAATCACTCGCGTCATAAACAATTAGCAAACAAGGTCGATAGAGTTATTTCCTTTCATCGTAAGCGCATATTTCCGCGCATACCTACCATGCGAGCGCGTACATTTTATACATGTATGAAAGAGGAGGGTAGCAGAAAAGAAAGAGAGACGAATACATTCAGAGAAGAAACAAGATATGGAGTGAGGGAGAGAGGGATGGTGGCGTATTGATCAGAGAAGCGACGGTTATGCCGCGCCCTACCACCACCACACTACCACCACCACTACTACTCGGCTCCATATTCTCACAACAATGTGGAAAGTCATTCGCCATAGAGGAGTATCTATCGTTCAAATTTACAATATTCGTTTTAACGTTCGGAGCAAAGGAAGCCAAAAGAGTTACATAAAATTGCAAAATCTGGTGTAAGAGACGAATGAGTCGATTTGATATGTTGGAAAGGATCCAATTACACTGCTCTCTAAAAACCTTTATTTTATTTGATATTATAAGGTTAACGTATTACATATAACAACATACTACTCGCTAATGAATCATATCGTCATAATTGTAAATAATTTAATAAATTTTTATTTCAAGAAATTCAATTATTACATATAACAACATCCTACTACTCGCTAATGAATCATATCGTCATAATTGCAAATAATTTAATAAATTTTTATTTCAAGCAATTCAATTATGGAATAGCAGTAAAGTAGTTGATAAATTACTTTCAATGTTTTCTCTGCAACTTTAATTAAAAATACTTTAAGCAAATCGGAAAAAGTTTTTTTCTGTATAATACATATAAAATACATATATAATAAAATGGCGCACAAAATGTTATATTGTATTTGATTTATGTATAATACATTTATTTTTAACAAAATTCGTATATAGAACTAATATAGAATTGGTTACTAAAGCCTAAAAATTGGATAGTTCAGTGATATGATGATATTTTGTGCGCCACCCTACATATTTTAATATACCTTTTAACAAGAAAAGAAAGAAACAATGACCTCGAGGCAAAGAGGCGAGTACTTACCCGAATGGCATTTTTCAGCGTCTCCGCTTCTTGACGAAGGCTATCGAGCTCGTTCATGATGTCTGGCAGATGACGCGCGTGCCTTATAAGCACCCGTTAACGGGTACGAGATACTGAGACGTCGCGCGTGCGAGAGGGGCTTGATGGAGCTCCCTCCTCTCGTTGGGGAGGGCTCAGAATTTCTACGATAATGACGGATGACGGTAGCTCCTGGTCTACGGCGCCTACTCTCTGTGGGAGGAGTAAGGCTAACTGCGAGGCCGGTGTCACGCCGTCGACAGCGTTTCCGGTGGCGGGTGGCGAACGCCCCCGAATTTACCACTCTCGTAAAGCAAGATGAGAAGTAAAGGGAAAGGAGATAAATGAAAATAGGGATAAGAATAGAATTTGTGTCTCTGCTTAACAAAGTCGGGACTACTACCAGCCTCACACAGCCCCACCTTCTCACCCCCTGTCTTCACTACTGCAGCGGCTTCCGCTTCCGCTGCTACCACCGCAACCAAAGCCAGATCACAGCTGATCCCTCTGCCCCTCTCGCCAACTTCGACACTGCCCAACGAGACCGTTGCCACCCCTAAACATAAAATATCAAATCAATTACATACAATTAATTGACAAACGGTATCTAAAGTCTAACTCTAGCTATACACAATGCGGTCTCAGAAATCCCAGTGCGTTTGCTAAATCGAGATTTTTTTCGCATTTCTGAACTTTTCTTTAAACCTACATATCTCGACGCTCTTTAATTCTATCGACTTTTACACATTACGAACTTGTCCTTTAATCAATACTCCATCGATTGAAAAAAAAAGTTAATTAAAATATGTCTATTTTTATGAAAGTTATGGTAACAAATATGGATAGGATCGATCCAGAGACCCGAATGTGTATATTAAGAGTACAAAAAAGTATGTGTACAGCTAAGGTTAAGTTAGTTATATAATACCACCGCCCGCTTGTCTCTAATTCGCGAAAAAATATATTTAAATTTTTTAAATACACTGACACAGATTGCAATTACCATAATTTACTCTCTAAAATTTTTAGAGTGAATTGTCACTCTGAAGAGTACGAGTTCACTCTAAAGTGAACGTTGAGCTAGTCTTGGAAAAGAGTGACATTCCACTCCGAAGAATTTAGAGAGTAACTATTGTACAATTATATAATTATTTTTGGTGCCAATTATATACTTTTGTAAAAGCATGAATGTAACCATTAATTACTAACATTATAGTAATAACTATAAAAATGGAGCTCCTAATCATATTTAATTTACCATGCCAATTGTAGTCACAAAATACTAAATACTTTTCTCTCAGTGTAACATTGTCAAGTCATATAAAATTACAAATGTCATTGCGCGCTGTTTTACCGCAACGTTCGGATTTATTCTTTGTTACGAAGAATGCAGAGGTGTTAAATTAACAGTTTTCCGTCTGTCACGTATCCTACCGTCAGTGATAAACGGAACGTTATATTTCTCGCGTATGATGCGCAATTTTGATATGGTTCAAGTATAACGAACAGACGGCATGTCTAAGCAGTCTTCCGCAAATGTCATTCTCCGAGAATTACTGCGGTTCCTTAATGACTGTAATAGATAATCGCATTGACTTCGCACGCAGCTCAAAGTACGGTCTTATGTATGCGTGTCGCGATAATCGCATGCCTGAGGAAATTCTAAGGAGTCAAGTAATATAAGAACATCGCTGGAACTTTCAAATATTTATATTCTGATGGTGATAAATTGGAGTGCGTAACTTAAATATGTTTGCTGTACCGTCGTTTAGTCGGACTAGCTAATTGGCACACATACCGCTTTTAAGCGTTACACACAGTGAAAATAAATAGCTATTTCCAGACATACATAATGAGTCGTATCGTTGGCGTATTAAAGAAAATACACCGTTTTACTACGAAAGGAACATAAATAAATTAGGAGTTCTGCTGCATTAACAATTGCGATAGTCATTTATCTAAAACTTGCATAAGAACATTGTATAAAGAAGAACAAATTATGCTTTCCTTTTTTGACGTTTAGTGAGTAATAAAATATAAAACGACACTTATGTTGACTTGTATCACTAAATAGGAAACACCTATACTACTAATTGATAAATTGGTGTATCTATTCTTGAAGTAAATATTAATCAATATACTGATACTACATACAGTTAAAAAGTATTTTTTATAATGCTGGCAACTCTCTATGTATAGACGACAAATATAAGAGTTTAAACGAAAAATTATTATACATAGTATATGAATAAACTATTTTATAATTATTGCAATTAAAAATGAATTACGAGGTTTTATATACAACTCATATGGTTGTACTCAAACAAAAAGACAAAGTAATATACAGCAACTATATGTATAGATAACTAATAACGTTTTATATATAAAATTAATACGTATACAACGTTAAATTAATGTATATAATTGAATAAACTATTTTATTGTTGTTGCAACTAAAGTTAATAGTTTCGTAATAAGTTTTCCTAATCATTCAACTTTAGTTGCAATAACTATAAAATAGTTCATTCAACTATATACATTAATTTTACAAATTGTAAATAAAATTTATATAATTGTCATCTATAATATAAACATATAGTTTGCTATCATTGTATCTTTTTCTCTGAATATAGAAATTATAACAAGCTACGTTAAAATAAATTCAATTGTAATTAGGACGAACAAATACTTATGACAAATATAATAAGTATAATGAACTCTTTTCTTTTGATATAGGTATTAAAACAGAATGAATTATATGCCATTGTCTTTTGCATTTATCGAAGCAAGTTCATTCATTCGCTTATTCACGTTTTTTGCTTAATTTGAATCAAGTGCCTTAAATGATGCTAATGAAAATAATTACAGAAAATATTATAATAGAGCGCTTCTCTTATCACGTATACACGCATGTCGAACACATAAAGATAAAAGAGAATATAATTATCGGCTCGCTAAAAATATTTTGGTTGTATGGCGCATACAGATATTTTTATCGCGACCTCTCTTTCTCCCTCGAGTTCTTGTCAGCGACTCAGAGAGATTCGAGTTTTCCTCAGCGCGTACTTTTCCTCGAGAAAAACGTCATCCGCGCGACGTGTATCACCGTCACGACGACGAGCGATCGGTCGACGCCGCGCCGCGCCGCGCCGCGCCGGTGCGACTAGTTACTGCAACGTAATATCGATAAACTCGGAAAACCGATAATTGACTGAAAAGTACTGACACGTGTGTGTTTGTCACTTCTATTCTAGATAAGGTACATGATTTTCGCCATCCAGTTTTATTGGAAATATAAATGCCACATTTTCATAATTGTGGAGAAAATTTATATAATATTAATACTTTTAGAGAATAATTTTATAGATAGATATTTTTTAAATTACAAATCCATCACCTTCTTATATCAATATATAAAACAAGATAAATTACAAAAAGACCTAAATCAAAGCGTACATATTGTATTCAATCCATGGTGTCAAATTAAACTTAATGAGTCGCCACTGCTTCACTAAAACATTGGTTGTATTTGACACTATACAGTGTCAATTTAACACTATGTAGTCAAATTGACACGATAGTATCAAATTTAACTATCGTTTTAGTATAAAATGACGATATATTTAGGCGACATAAATTATGTTAAATTTGACACTATAAATTTAACAGTGTATAAAAGAAATTAGTGTATATTGTAATAAACTTTAGAATTATATGTTACATGCGAAACAAGTTTTAACTTTACTCGTCAGTTTTCATCAGCTGCATTTCAATAAACCAAATCACAAATCTAAATTACATCAAAGATTTAAAAATATCCGTGGTCTGACAATTACGAGCAAATAGTTTGATCCTACGGATTTGTGACTTTTTTAATTCTTTTAATAAAATTGTTAATTTTCCTAGAAAAAAGATCCTAGGAAAGAAACAATGTATTATGGGCCGTCTAAAATAGCAGCAGCAGGATTAGAGTGTAAAAGTAAGAAATTGATCACAGTCGATTATTCTTCTCACATTGGACTGTGACTAGTCAATTTCTTACTCTTACAGCCTAATCTGCTGCTGCCATTGTAGACGGCTCATTAGATACCGACATAAATCCTGTCTTATACAAGAGGGGATGACGACGTTTAAAATTTTACACGGATAAAAATATTTGATTAACTGGAATTCTGGTGGAAGATGAATGATCCAGAATTCTGGTTAAATCCATGGTTAATACCAGAATTCTATTATAAAATTAACCAAAAATCTAGTAAACTTAACCAGAATTCTGAATCATTCATTTTCCATTAGAATTCCAGTTAAAACAACCAAATACATATTTTTTTCGTGTAATATTACTCTGTAATATTACTCTATAGACGTTTTAAATTTGTGATATAATTTAGATTTTTGTAATTTGATTTATTATAATGCAACAAAGACTGACGAATAAAGTCGAAACTGTTCTTCTTATATTATTATATATAATTCTAAAATTCATTACAATATATACTAATATCTTAAATACGCCCAATTTTTGCTTTATTATTGCTTTCAACATTTTTCATTATTTAAAAAAATTACTATATCCACAGAATCATATAAACGAGTTTTTCTATCATATTGTATTCTAATATTTTTCATTAACATTTCCAAAATAAACATAATGATTCTGTTGAGAACAATGTAAAATTATCTTAAAAAACGTAAAATTATTATAAAAACATATAAATCCTCGTTAAAATTTTTTAAGAGATGTATAAACGTTATTTTAAAGATATGCAAAATATTGTTTTTTACACAATCAAATAGAAGAATAACAATCGATCACTTTTTTACATCAATCAATTTTTTTAAATACAGATAAATAACAGATAAATAAATCATCGATTTTATCGGCACTACAAATCCTGAAGTTTTTCCTCGTCGAGAGAAAAGCAGACATCTCGTAAATACTACGTAATCTTGTGGTTATATAAGTTTTCTTTTTCATTATATCATTTGCAATCGATCATGCTCGAACAATCACGGATGTAAAGATTTCCAGTGCACTGTTTACCGATTTACTCCGCAAGATTTTGCGACCGGAAGGAGAAACTCCGAGGACTGTCAATCCAACGCGAGAAATATTTTTATCTAAATTAAACCAGCAGTAAGATCAAAATTTTGCACACATTAGAAATAAAATAAAATTCAATATGATACTTGGGTATGTTGAGTTAGCACCCCAACTACAGTACTTAGGAGTTCTGATTAGAGTTCCCACTTCCTTTTGACAAGACGAAGAGTTCCCTATAGTTAATAACAAGAGTTCCGCTCAATAAACATTTTTTTTACATTTTTTTAAAAATGGGGTGCTAACTTTTTATCGAATTTTGAGGTGGAATAGTTCTGAGCGCTTAATAGCTTCAATTTGCGATTGCCTACAGTTCCTGATATGTAAAAAAAATTTTCGAATAAAAAAAAATTAAAAATTTTTGAAAAATTAATTTTTAGATACAATAGTTCTGATGATAATTTCTGCTTCTTTTTGACGATACGAAGAGTTCTCTATGATTTTTAATGACATAT